AGTGATAAAAGAAAAATCACCACTTAAGAACACAATGGAGCCCATAAGGCGGCGCAGGAGAATATGAAAACAGGTCATGTCGGAATACTATTTCGCTTAAATGACCAAATACCGAGGTTATCTTGAATGATAAGATTTGCACAAAAGCAAAATACAACAGACACCCGAAAAGCAAAAACTCGGCCAGACGCCAGTCCCTTCACAAACTGGAAAAATGTTACATATCAACATTTTTTCCACAGAAAAAAAGTCTTCGTGACTTGCGTAAACAAATCCTCAAAGTTTGTGGTGGTCCAGCCTTTCGCATCTCGAACGATAAAATTTAATAAATACATTCCCGTTGTCGAATCAGGTGTATTGCGAGGTAAGCGTAGTAAATGCGTCTCCATTTCATAGGTCATCTAATGGGCAGGTAAAACGCTTAAACGACACCCTGCTGGAAAAAGCCAAGTGTTTAAGGCTTCAAATGGGTATAGTTGACATGGTCGACCTTATCCTGTAGACCACTATCGAGTATATCAGCTCAATATACTCAGTGTTTAAAAAGAGACCTAAGGACATCTTGTTTAACTCTTCGCCGGAAGGAAGCGGACTTGGGGACAACGGTCCTCATTGAGTGGAGGGTGGTCCACAAGGACAACCTCCGTTGACGTTTTAAAAAGAAGAAAACATTTTTTCATTGCCTTTTTATTAATATAAGTTTTAACATTTTAGGATTTCGTTAATCATACTTTCAATCATGACCATGGCGACGGCATGGGTGACTGATTAAATGCACGCGGACTACATACCGATCAACGAAGGGGACATTTTACTAAGGGACAGCTACGTGTACTTACGTCACACTACAAGCCTCACGGACTTCAAGACAATGACCGAAAAGACTATGAACTAACGGGACTATTTACACATTCCCATATGAGGAAATTGCTGGAAGTTAGCACTGAACTGGGCATGTAATCCGCTCTCAATGTGCACCATCGTAAGGTGGCCTTGACTTCTTGGGAACATCCTGTAAGGTTGTAGCAAGCAGTCCGGACTCAAACGACTTTAAGATAATGGAACTGACGCAGATACAGCTGGTCATTGCCAGCAATAGACAGATTTCCATAAATTCCAAAGTACAAGAAGAAAGATTAACCAAATGACCGACATTGTAAAGAAAATTCTTTAATCCTCAAAGGATAACAGGCTGAAAGAAGCCACCTTTTTGAAGCCATAAGCACATGCAACAGAATGATGATAACAGAAATAGGGACCCTTATGCTTACTTTAAACTTAGAAAAAATAAATGTTATAAGCCCAATAATAATCGATCAAGTCACAGGGACCCCTCTTGCAGACATTTTGAAAGTATCTTATGTTAAAGTAGAACTAGAATTCAGTTCCCTATAATAAGCAAGCAATGCAAAAAAATAATCAGTTTCCCTGTCGCTTACAATGGTTCCTTACTTCAACTGCACGTGGTGGCTGATTGCGATGGCGAAATTGTAGCTACTTCCGCGGAGATCGGTCGTGTTTTGTGCATTCCCGTGTCTGTGTATATTCAGTGGATCAAAGGCAAAGTACTGGTGATTTTAGTAAAATGGTTAAATTTTGGATTATATTATTAAATAATTAATACTAATGGCGTCCAACAATTCAAACCACCTTTATCCTACGTCTACAATTCATATCACACTGGAAAATGGTCTACCGCCATACGTTATGCCGTGCGGGGGCACTACGCAGCCCACCACGTCATGCATCACCACGACTGCTTGCTTTCTAGGAACGACTACGGTAACGTCGTCCCCTGCACGTGGCATCAGCTCCCTGGCCCACTCTACCCTGTCTCTCCCCATATCGGGTGCTGTTACAATCCTGGATCTCCATGCCTTTTTGAGCAAATACCCGCCAAGCAGCCAGGTATCAAAAGGAACCGTTCTAACAGAGGGCAGCTAAGAAAAGAGGAGGTGGTGTTCTCTTGTCAAGTATATCTCGCAAGAAGGCGAGCACTACCAATGCCAAAAAGGCAGCTAAAACTGGTTCTCGGTCCTCTGTGACGAAGAGGAGAGCCACATGGACATGGAGGTAGAGCTAACTGGATGAAGATGATATTAGACCATCCCCCTTGCACGCAGCACTCGCAAGGGCCAGCAGGAAACAATTGGCAAACCAGAACAACTGTGCGAGGCATTGTTAGTTCGCTACGTTCTGCAAGGATCTGGACAGCATCTTAGGCGCGAACACCTACACTGTGAGAGCGCTCAACTCTGGCGACTGAATTATCCAATGCCATCCATCCATCAAGTCCTACTGCTTGAGACACTCTATGTGCAAGGAGTGTGGAGAGACTAGCTTCTGCTCCTGTATCATCCTCAGAGTGCCAGGCCATATTCTCCACACCTCCAACCAACCAAACAGCAGCCTACATGAAGGAGCAGCAATACTGATCAGGTCGTCCTTGTCACACCATCCGCTTGAGTTGTCCCGTCACTGACCCAGCCGTTGTTATCTGACGCGGATCCGACATAGGCAACTTCAACCTCGATTCAGTATACTGCCTTCCGAAGAGTGACTGAGGCACACTTTCAAGCCCTCTTCGACCAGCTAGCCCCAAAATTCTTGGCAGGGGGTGACTGGAACACCAAACATCGCTGGTGGGGAAACTACCGGATGTGCCCCTGACATTAAAACTGAAGGCATCGAAATAATATCCACGGGAGAGGCAAGGTGCAATCCATATAGAGCTACCTAATAAGTAGACTTATGGACTTCGACGAGGTCACGCGCCTGATCCTGGACCATCAGTTTGGGTTTAGGAAGTCTCATGGCTTCCCCGACCAATTCCACCCAGCAATAAACTATATACATGTACATCAAAAAAAGGAATACGTTGGAGTTTTCCTCGACGTCAAACAGGTAGTTTGATTAGGTCTGGCACGATGGCCTTCTCTATAAGATCAAAGCTCTAGTCCCTGCGTCATATGTCAGTACTGCCAGCTAACTGGAACGTCGCCATAAACTGTCCCAAGTCCGCTTGCCTTACTTTCACGCTGCTGCCAGGGACTACGGTTCGATGACGGAACCATTGAGCACACCAGCTCATTTTGCGACTTGGGTGTCCACTTGGACCGAAGGCTCGCAGGGGGGTCTCACATCACAGCAACAAAAGCAAAATTCCAAAAAGGCTCCAAAAACTCGACTGGCTCATGAAACCGCAAAGCAAGCTCCACACGAAGACGCTGCTCATTAAAAAGATGGTAACGCCCATCTGCACATAAGCTATTCCAAGTCCAAGCCAAGACAGCACGCAAGGTCGCCGGCCTGCCATGGTACGTTACCAGCGACGCCATCGAACGCGATTTCCGCCTAACAAACGTCGGAGGTCAGATAAACTTCTTTAGCAGCCGATTCGCCTTCAAGCTGCTGCAGTACCCGAACGTGGCCGACAGGGTCCTGGCTGACTCCATTAGTGAGAGGCGCCTCCGAAGACTGCACCCCGACGACCTACATACGAAGCGTATAGTTTAATCATCTCCTTCCCCATCATTTTAAATAATTTCATTGTAAATATTATATATATTACATAATACTAACTATACATCCTCCCCTTAGTTATTCCATTGGCAGAGATCAGGAAGCACTGATCGATTCCAGCGCAAAATTAAAAACATTAATAATTAAAAAAAAGCCGAGTCACTTCGACCCTGACATCAAGTGGACGACGGCTTCATCATCATAAACGATCGCAGCGCAATACTTAGCTATGACGACTGCGTCGATGAAAGTAGATGGGATAAACCTTGTCACCTTCACGTCCCGAAATCGGTTCCCAGCAGTAGCGGCATCCCCGTTACTAAACATCATAAGTCACGACATGGTGCTCAGCCTTCCTTACATTCATCGTCTAAGTGCGGAGAACCTTAACTACATCAAGGAGGTCAGAGACAGTGTCACAGTCGAAAACAAGACTGAATTTCCCTCAGTATAATATTGTTAGCTTGTGCTGTGGGAGCTGTAGTCAACTGGTCTCATAAGCTGGTGATCAAACGCCGAAACTCCCGAAAAATCTCCCAGATGCTGAAAACTCAAACCCGACCGAGAACGTTCGCTTTTCGAGAGGCGGAGTTGTTAACCACTGACTATAGGTATTTGCTGACTAATCTAATCTATATGCTAATTAATCTATCTGTCTATGTAATAGCAAAGAATGTTTAAATAAAACAATTATTAATAATTGAAACATTAGTTGTACAGTAAGTCCAAAATTATATCTCTCTCTGACAGTGGATAAAAATTGGTATAAAAGACGGTTAATGGTCTATGATTACAGCACTGAGCAATATTTAATTTACCCTACTTTGAGAAAGGGTGATTTGCTTGTCCAAAAATGAAAAAATATATATATTTTTTATAAAAATATGCCCGGCTGTTTTCTAGTTGAAAGCGAGTGGGAAGAAGAAGACATGACTTTTTGGCTTTGATAATTATATGCATAGCAGTAGCTAGAAACAATAACAAAGAGTTAGACGAGTGCAATATGAACTTAATATGATGATACTTAATATGATCAGCCACTTGACGGCCACCGTCTTATTCCGACTTACGGCATAAGCGGTGACCATGCATCCCACGGGCAAGTCCCGGGAGCGCTATGTACGAGAAGAACATAGCTGCACGCGCACAAATACTTTAATTCCAATATATATGCATGATTACGCTCTCCTCCTCAGACTTTGATAGCTTTAAGATAATTATGCTAAGTTGAATTTGTTAGCTACGATAAGCTTATTTCATTCCAATAAAAATTAATGATAAAACTGACGTTAAGTGGACCAGTTATATACGGCATTTCTACATTATCTCGCATCAAGTATTTTGAAAAATCGCTTTCGATCCAAAAGCCCTCTATTTATTACGCAATAACTCGTACTTATACTTATGCATTTGATTTCGTTATCAGGTTTAAGAAAGTCAACATACATATGCTACATTTTATTAATTTATTTTTGTAGGAATGAAAAGTTTTACACCTGTTGTGATGAGCCCTATCTGGATATAACTTTTAACATAACCATGCGAAGAAAGACTCTTTTTTACACTGTTAACATTATAATACCATGCATGGGTATCTCATTTTTAACGGTACTAACATTCTACTTGCCTTCTGATAGTGGAGAAAAGGTATGTAAACCATTTTCATACAATTTGCACTTGAGTAACAGGTTAAATAGAAGTTCCATTCATTTTTAAATCAAATACAATTTGAATACGAAAATAAACCACCACTTTCTGTTGTTATACCCTTGCAGAGGGTTTTATAATTTTGTCGAGAAATAAATGTAACGCAGAGAAGGAGACATCTCCGACCCCATAAAGTATATATATTCTTGATCAGCATCAACAGCCGAGTCGATATAGCCATGTCCGTCTGACCGTCTGTCCGTCTGACCGTCTGTCCGTCTGACCGTCTGTCCGTCTGTCTGTTTCTATGCGAACTAGTCCCTCAGTTTTAAGGCTATCTTAATGAAACTTTGCAGAAGTCCCTTTTTCTGTTGCACGCAGCACATATGTCAAAATCAGCTGGATCGGACCACTATATCATATAGGTGCCTTAGGAACGATCGGTCGAAAATTAAGTTGTATGAAAAAAAATTTTGTTTTTAAGATGTCTTGACCAAACTCGGCATTTATTAGTTTTACTATACTTCTCATATATAGGCAAAATTCTATAAAGATCGGAACACTATATCATATAGCTGCCATAGGAACGATCGGTCGAAAATTAAGCTGTATGAACAAAAATTTTGTTTTTAAGATGTCTTGACCAAACTCGGCATTTATTAGTTTTACTATACTTCTCATATATAGGCAAAATCCTTTAAAGATCGGACCACTATATCATATAGCTGCCATAGGAACGATCGGTCGAAAATTAAGTTGTTGTATGAAAAATCGTTTTGTTTTTCAAGATATCTTGACCAAACTCGGCATTAATTAGTTTTACTATACTCCTCATATACATGCAAAATCCTATTAAGATCGGAAGACTATATCATAAAGCTGCCATAGGAACGATCATTCGAAAAGAAGATTCTTGTATGAAAAACATTTTATTTTTCTAGAAATCTTCACCAATCTCGGCATTTATTAGTTTTACTATACTCCTCATATATATGCAAAATCCTATTAAGATCAGAAGACTATATCATAAAGCTGCCATAGGAACGACCGGTCGAAAATTAAGTTGTTGTATGGACAAATTTTTTGATTTTCACGATATATTTACCAAACTCGGCATTTATTAGTTTAACTATGATCCCTTTATATACAAAATCCTATCAACATCGGACCACTATATCATATAGCTGCCATAAGAGCAATCGGTCGAAAACCAGGTTTTTGATTAAAAACTTTTTTTGGTTATCAAGATATCTTTACTATTTTCCCGGTACTTCTTAGATAGATTTGGGTGTAGCCCATACGACTTAATCATCAATGACAACAATTTCGTGTGGATGATGAACATTGAATGGCAGATAGGATGTGAAATTAGGAAGGGACGACCAGGCCAGTTTGCCAAGGTTGAAATCTCCCATAACATAGGGCGACCATCTGGCGTCTAGGCTTTGGTGAATGCAGCGAATGTTGTCTACTTGCGCTTTGTGTAGATCGAATGGGCTATTAGGCGGTATATATGAGACGCATATACAAATAGTGTCAGTGCCGCAGACCACAAGCACGGACAATCGGTCCAGTGTAGAGTCATCGTAATTAAGCCTTACTATTTCGCATCGCAATATGTTTCGCACAGCTATTATAACGCTGTACTTTCACAGCGTCTCTGTTTTTACGAAAGATACGAAAGGTTTAGGTTTAAAAAAATGCAATTTCATAGAAATCCGAGTTGAGCCATGTCTCAACCAGTCTATGATATCAAATTGGGATGTTGCCTTGTATAACACTTGAGATTTGCTTCGCATTCCTTACTTATAAGAATATAAGAGAGCTAGAGTATTGATAGAAAATAATAAAAGAAATAAACAAAAAGAATATTATGAGTGTCAGATTTTAAAATATAAATATGAGACCAAGTGTTACTAAGAAATGAAACAGGTCAAAAGCTAGAATATAGATATACTAAAGATAAATAGAGATATTCCAATATCCATAATATGTCCCAATAAATAATAAATCCCAATTGCCATAATAGATTCTAAAAACAAGTAAGAGGTTAGGGTCGGGATCTCCCGACTAGGGAATACCCTGAACCAAAGACAATATAAGCACTGAGATGAGTAACGCCATACAACAAAATGCTACTATGTAGCTTGATTTTTTGAAAATTGAGAACGAAAACGAAATCTGTAGCATTGTGCTCTCACAGCCGAGAGAACGAAAAATCTAAAAATATAATTTGCTCTCAGCTTCGGCTCTATGAGGGCCGTGCAAGCAATTATGTTTGTATGCGTGTAAATATACATACATAACAGCATGTTTAAGTGTGTTGTTATCCACTGCTCTGGCAAAGTCTCTGGCTGGCAAAGAAACAATTTTCTTAGTTTTTTAGCACAGATCACGACCTACCCAAAATTTCTGATATATGAATGCACTTTGTGTACTGAGGTTGGCTCCGTAGAAAATATGTATTTTTAGGTCGATGCAAATATTTATGTAATTTTTTATATTTGAAATTATTAATGAAATTATTATTATTTTTAAGTAATACAAAAAAAAATTAAGGAAATGAAAGTGCAAATATGTTGTTTTCAATGATACATTTAATTCATTTTTATTTTTTCTAATTTATTATTTTTTGTTTGAATTATAAAGAACAAAGTCGCCGCTCGAATAAGCTACCGATGCAAAATCGGTACCCAGGGAACACCGCGAGGAGGCCATTATAATAATAATGGGGTCATAACTAAATATGACCTTCAAGTCGACTATTGGCTGAGACAAGAACTTTTCTCGAGCATACACTGTCCAAAAAGAAGACTGAAATCAATCTATGTGTGCTATTTTCTTAACATAGTTATTGCGCAAGAAGCGCCTTGTGTAAAAATTATAAAAGTTCTTAAATTTTCCTGTAAAATTATTTGTTAATATCTAGGGTTATATATCATTTAAATAAAGCATGCATTTCATGGATAAAGCACAAGCACTTTGCGTCGATCGTAAGCTCTAAACTTTTTCGCTCAATGTACTTCGAAAACGAAGCGACGCAAAGCAGCATCGACCAGCTTTGCTGAAGGCAGGCTGGCGACTAACTTCGTTGCTCGTGTCAGCATCAGCATGCCGCGACTTCGGCATTCGTTCGTCTGGTCTTTGGAGAACGACCAACCAGTCGGCAGGCATGCCGTACGAAGCCTCAAAGGCCAGATGAAAGGCCAGGCTAGAAATTTTGCGTCGCATTCAAATGTATGCGCGTTACTCATCTTAGTGTTTATATTGTCTTTGCCTGAACCCTCTTACTCCAACAATACCCAGAACCTTCTTATTCCAACACCAAATGCAGTTCGCTCTTCTGTTTAAGTTGTAACGAAGACCCTTGCAGACCCAACCTTGTCATAATGCTCACATTGCTTTGCCCGTATCTAAGAAGCACAGGGAAAATAGTTAATGCCGACATTGGTCAAGATATCTTAATAAACAAAACTTCTTTTTCATACAACAACTTAATTTTCGACCGATCGTTCCTATGGCAGCTATTTGATATAGTGGTCGGATCCAGCTGGTTTTGACATATGTGCTGCGTGCGACAGGAAGAGGGACGTCTGCACAGTTTCATTAAGATAGCTTTAAAACTGAGAGACTAGTTCGCATAAAAACAGACAGACGGGCATGGCTATATCGTCTAGGCTTTTGATACTGATCAAGAATATATATACTTTATGGGGTCGGAGATGTCTCCTTCTATGCGTTACACATTTCACGACAAAATTATAATATCCTCTGCAAGGGTATACAAAAAAGCCTGGCAGGGTTCGAACTCGCACCTGACCGCATTACTTGCTGTCGGCTGTACTCAGAATACACAGCAACCAAAAATAAAAAATAAAAGTTTCCTTGGTAGGGTTCAAACTCGCAACAGAGCCTGCCACTTGTCGCCGCCTGTGCCCAACAGGCACAAATATTATTAATTCTTAAAGTAAACAATACAATCGCAATTGTAATGCTGTTGATAGAATTCGAAGGAGACGCGCATGATTGAGGCTTATATTGATGGGCATTACAAGTTGATTTAAGCGATAGGTATAAAATGAAAGATACTTGATATATGTATACTATTTTAGAAGCAACATATCTAGTTTGCTGACTCTTAATATTTACCCAATTTGCTAAAAAAAAACAGGATTTCGATATCGATTTTTATCGATTGCTTGGAAACTGAGTAAGTTATCGATTATCGGAAACAAATTCGTACTGTGCATGGACTAGGAAGACATATGTACATACCAAATTTCTCTAGTCTAGTCTCCAGCTCTTATAGGTACTGAGATCCTTGCGTTCATACATACGGACAAACGGATGGACGGACATACAGACGGACTTGGTTAGATCGACTCGGCGGTTGATGCTGATGACGAATATATATACTTTATGGGGTCGGAGTTGCTTCCTTCTGCCTGTTACATACATTTGCAAATTATACCCTTTTTACCCATTTTTAATCGGTTCAGGGTATTAATAGATATATCTGCAATATAATAAAAAACAAGAAGAGAATGACATTTTGGAACCAGAAAAAGAGTTCATCTTCATTTCCAAGTCAAGTCCAATAAAAGTATATTCTTATTGTGGGATACAACCCACCATAAAATCAACAACATTAATCAAATTCGGTAATTGTACAATTAGAACAACAAAACTTTACGTTTCATGACAACATTTAACCACAAATCCAAATCAACAATACCAGAGAGGAATTTTATCTCCAAACCTTGAAATTAGCAACCAACAAGAGCCAGAAAGGAGTATTAAAATAAAAATAACAACCGTTAGACAGTCCCTAAGTACTTACTTCTTACTAAGAGCACCAGTACTAACAATAGCAAGCATAGTTTTCCAAAACAAAAAAAAAAAATAATTCTTTACACCTTCAATACCCACATCAGTAGTATCGTCGCCAGTGACTCACTTTGGCGTCAGTTCTTATCAGGGGGGATGAATTACCATATTCG